GAGGGCGACAGCAAGGGGGAGAGAGGGCGACGGCAAGGGGGAGAGAGGGCGACAGCAAGGGGGAGAGAGGGCGACAGCAAGGGGGAGAGAGGGCGACAGCAAGGGGGAGAGAGGGCGACACCAAGGGGGAGAGAGGGCGACAGCAAGGGGGAGAGAGGGCGACAGCAAGGGGGAGGGAGGAGGAGGAGCGTGATGATTGTTTACCGTGGATGTGTTGGCACACAGCGTGAAACGGCACCACAGCAGGTTGGACCACACAGCTGGCATTGGCATATTAGCTACTCTGCTGCACTGCCCTGCTACGCATGGCTGCACACACTGATAGCCTTCCCTGCAGCTTCTGTATCTACGTGACAATGGCAAGTCTGTTGCAAGGATGTCATTCCTCCTGCAACGCATGCATCATGGCATGTACAATAGTTTGCACCAAGGCATGTACAATGGCATGCACCATGGCATGTACAATAGCATGCATCATGGCATGTACAATAGCATGCATCATGGCATGAACAATAGCATGCATCATGGCATGTACAATAGCATGCACCATGGCATGTACAATAGCATGCATCATGGCATGTACAATAGCATGCATCATGGCATGTACAATAGTTTGCACCATGGCATGTACAATAGCATGCACCATGGCATGTACAATAGCATGCACCATGGCATGTACAATAGCATGCATCATGGCATGTACAATAGCATGCATCATGGCATGTACAATAGCATGCACCATGGCATGTACAGTAGCATGCATCATGGCATGAACAATAGCATGCACCATGGCATGTACAGTAGCATGCATCATGGCATGTACAATAGCATGCCTCATGGCATGTACAATAGCATGCACCATGGCATGTACAATAGCATGCACCATGGCATGTACAATAGTATGCACCATGGCATGTACAATAGCATGCACCATGGCATGTACAATAGCATGCACCATGCACCATGCACCATAGCATAGCATGCAGCAGCAGAAATCTAGACCCCATCATTCTTACTCTGGTGGCTTCTTGGTAACGAAATAAGCATCGACGACGATCAAATCAGGGTAGCCATTGTACTGAGACCTTCCAATGGACCTGCATGGGGAGGCAGTGCAGAGGGTGGGAAAGGAAGCCAGGAAGGGAAAATACATGCACGCATCAGATTGTTGCGAACAGGAAGAAAGAGGAGCAGCAGTTGGGATGTGGAGCGAGCAATGTGCAACATGTCAACCCGGGATGCAAGCGATGCACGTGGCAGCAGGGCGGTGCAAAGAGGAGGATGAGGAGGAGGTTCAGGAAAGAGAGGATGGGAGGTACAGGTACTAGGTGAGTGCAGTGAGGCGTCTGAAGGTGGATGGGAGACTTCCAGTGAGGCCAGCAATGTCCGTTAGGTCACTGGCATGGCATGTGATGGAGATGACAAGGGGTTCACAAACAGATGAGGCTGAGTCTCCAACACTCCTAAACTGAAACGGAAGAGGTGAGTCGCTTCGAGCGGCTACTCGTTCTGAAATTAAACAAAACGGACAAACAAATTACAGGCATCCTTGTAATCTGAGCTGCCCCCCTCGCGAGCAAGACGATGCGAAAATAAACCGAGCTGAGGCAGCAACTGCGAGTCATGGAAATGATGTCAGAGGTCCACTGGTGATCCCCGATCGATCCTAGGGAAGGGTTACAGGCACGTTTGCCTGGGGGGTTATGGGCGCACTGACCCGCTACTGAAACAAGCCCTTTTATCCCAATGGTCTAGTGGTTGGGATTCTGAGATGGTATCCAGAGCGAAGGTCTCGGGTTCGAATCCCGGTGTATGCACTTCGGGCATCCCAGTGCGGGGGGGTGTCAGAGGTCCACTGGTGATCCCCGATCGATCCTAGGGAAGGGTTACAGGCACGTTTGCCTGGGGGGTTATGGGCGCACTGACCCGCTACTGAAACAAGCCCTTTTATCCCAATGGTCTAGTGGTTGGGATTCTGAGAAATGAAACCCCCTCTTACAGGTGCTGCAGATTCGTGGCATTGCCAATGGATTCAGGAATGGATCCACTTAATTCGGTGGCGTGCAAATCACTGTCATGGCATTGGCACGTGATTAAGGCAGGCAGGCCGACTTTGCATGAGAGAGAGTTAACACGGTGGGGACCGAATGAGTTAGAGTAAGGCATAGAGGGGGCTGGAAGGGCAGTTCAAGAGAGAGGAAACAGCAAGAGAGGTGAGTGAGACGGCACAAGGGTAGAGCAGAACAAAGGTGCGTACACAATTTCCAAGTGAGGCAACTGGCCAAGAAACTCCAGGCTTCCAGTGAAGGCACACCAAGGCATTTCCCTGCAGAGAGCCATGCAAGTGGGAAGGGTGGCTTTGAAAGAGGCGAACAACAAGATCAGTGAGCTTAGAAATCGTGCAAGGTGTCGCAGACATCGAAAAAAATCGCCAGCCAACGTTCTTTAGTCGTGGTTCAGTGCAACCTCAAGCACTCAATCTGATGGCCCTTCAAGTACCCCTGCGGCCATTTCCTTACAAATGAACTGCAGCACTGACAGTTTCCGAAGCGCTTTGAGGGCTGTGATTGCTGACGGAACGACTCCATTTGGTATAGAGCGATCTTCCGGCTTCGACGTTTTGAACCTGCATCAATCAAAACCTTGACAAGTAAGTGGCTGGTCGCTCGGATGCCTGCCTGGTGGCATTGCAGCAGCAAGATCAGCAATGCCTGATCTGCACACCATGCAACGGCGTGCATGGTCATTTGAAAATAGGCAAGTTCACTCTACTATCTTTCCTGGTTGGTCCCACAACACAGCCACTCCGCCTTTGCAGGGCTGCTTTCTTCCATCATCCATCATGCCATCATCCATCATGCCATCATGCCATCATGCCATCATGCCAAACAAGCGTTCCTTCTGTGCAATGCTCTTCCATTCCCCTCTCTCCCCATCCTCACTTCCTCCTTCCTCCCTGCCTCGTGTCTCGTACTCATCCCAGAGCACACATGGAGGAGCTCACAGGGCGGTCACCATGCCGCGTGTGTTACATTCCAAATGACTGAACGAGTTGTCCTCCCATTCATCACAGAATACATCAGTCGAGCTGTACTGGGGCCATACACCCCATTCGATATTCAGGGCCAGCAGCGCTTGTACTGGGGGCAGGTGGAGGGAGGTTGTTGGGGGGCGGAACGGCAAGACGAACGGGATGACAATGGCTCGCCAACCGACCAACACTGTTGGGCGACTAGAAGTGGTCTCCTGGCAATCCATCTCTATGTGCCTATTTTCCGAGAAAGATTAAGTGGCATTTGTGGCAACACGCATGGCAGAGCACGGCCCGTAATCAGAGGGATGGCGTGCTGCAGTCAGTACAAGAGAATAGCTGGGTTCATTGCGCTGCGCACATTCCAGTTTTTTTTGAAATATGTGGAAATGGTTGTTTGTGTGAGGGGGATGTGTCGCTATCAACAAAGGTGTTGAAATAAGTGCATGCTCAACTTTTGCGTAGCATCCTGCTTCTTACCGGCAATCGTAACACGATCTCGGGTCATTCTTCGCCAAGAATGCCAAGACTCTTCGCTGTGGGCCGCCACCCCCTAATAAAATCACCATCCTAGTAAACTATTTGTACGCCCACTGCGGTTAACTTTGTTTCAACACGGTGCAGAGCGTTAAACGTCAAGAATACGTCCTGGACCACGATACAAGAACTGTAAACCCATGAGAAAGTATGACCTAACGTCGCCCTAATGTTTGGGTTTATTGATCTTTTCCTTTCGGGTGGTGGTAGGTCATCCAAGTCAACAGCTTCCGTCATATCTGTTTAGGTGGGCGTCAGCTTGTTGGTGCACCTGAACAGAAATTCTGGGGAACAGCCCCGATAAGCATCCCCGCTCTGCGCAGCCCCCTCCCCCCCACCTTCCCTGTCCGGGTGCGGCGGGTCATACTTGCTCATAGTTAGTTTGACGCGGTTCAAAACGGTTAGCCACGTTTCGGGACGGCCTTCGTTTTAACCGCTTCAGACCGCTTTTTAGAACCAAATTAACCTTTTGACTAATTGCATACCAACGAAAACCCGAAGACCCAACCCAACAACTAGTCAGTAGCAGTTGTAGGTCACACAAAAATTCCCTCTCCTCGTTACTTCTCCTTTCTCCCATCCTTCCCAGTCGCGACTCGCGGGATCCGCGACCAACGAGCAACTTTCGCACTGCAAAAACCTTCCTCTCGGCTTTCGCACTCCAGCATTGATCATGTCGCGAAACTCGCCACTTACGATGGCCCCTCGCCACGCACACCGCTATATGCGCTGCATCATGCTCCTGCTCCTCGTGCTTCTCTCTCCCTTCACAGCCAGTGGTACCACTGTCACTGCCGCTACCACCACCACCATTCTGCAAGGCGGCCGCACTAGCAGCATTCTCGCAACCAACGGCCCATCGCGCCGCGGCCCGTCGCGAGCTTCGCCGCCGCCGGCGGCGCTCGTCGCGGCGGGCCGTCGTCCGTCCTCCGCGCGTCGCCAACTAGAAGCCGCATCGACAGAACGAGACCAGGCGGAGCGCGTCAAGCTCGCGCCCTCACAGTGTGAGTCCGACTCAGCGACAGACAGCTACCCTCACGGCACTCCGACTCTGATAGTACCAGACCGTCTAATACGTGACGTACTATTGTTGAGCTACGGGCCTTTCGAGGCGTCTTAGGAGCCATCTCTATGGGCACAGCGCGTGTCAGATTCCAGCAGGCAGTTGGAGGGCCGAAACTGTCGCCTAAGCCTCGCAGTGTGAGGACGACTCATTAGCCCTTGCCAGCTCACCACGTGCGACCAGCTGCGGGGATACATGGGTAGCAGCTGTCCAGCACGGCGCTTTCGGCGTGTGCCGTTCCCTGCTTAAGCTCCTGCGTACCCTCAACTAAGAGCCACGTCTGTTTGTGGAGTGAAGTGATTCCATTCCAGCGAAACAAGGGGATGCAATGTCACGCAGCCCCAGTCGCACGGCTCAGTTGCCCAATGCATGAGCGTCCCACGCGGTGCTGCTGTTGCTGCCGCCTCCCAGACTCACCTCCCCTCCCCTCCTCCTTCGTTGCCCCCGTGCCTTCCCCGCACCCCTCCGGCGGGCCTGGCAGTGCAAGCGCTGCTGGCGCTGGAGCGGGAGTGGCAGGCGTGGGAGTGGGCGGAGGGGAACGGCCCGTCCGGCAAGGCGTGGTGGTGCGACGCGTGGAACAGCAACATCGACCTCAGCGTGACGTGTGACGCGCACGGCATGGTCACTGACTTGTGAGCCCTGCCTGCTCGCCCTGGGATGATGTTGTGCTCCCCGGCGCATGGGGAAGGGCGGGAGGGAGTGGTGGGGATGAAGGGATCGGGTTGTGATGCTCGTTTCTTCCTTGCAGTGTGCAAGAGCAATGTGGGTGGGGATGAAGGTGGGTCGGAAGATGCGGGATATGGAAGATAAAGGTGTGATGGGATGTTAGGGCAAGAGGTGGTGAATATATAGGTGTGGATATATTGGGTGAGGCCCCGGAGTGGTGCAAACCCGGGAGGTCCCATGTGTGTGTGTGCACTTGTTTGTGATGTGTCCACATGAGCGTGAAACCTTGCAAGCAACCTCAGGCAGAGTGCACGCGTGCATGCAGCTCTATCCGTTCCAAGTCTCCGTGCAACAGAAATCCCCTCCACCTGCTGCTGCCATGCCATGCCATGCCATGCAGGATCGGCGGGGATCCAGATGTACCGTTCGCGTTTGGGACATTGCCGTCGGACATCACAGCCTTCACCGCCCTCCACACCCTGTCAGTCACTGCACACCCTGTCAGTCACTCCACACCGTGCCATCATGAGTCCTAAAGGCCGATGATGTGATCGAAGTCGGGGCTGTGCTGTTCCGGCAACCGCCTCCATGCTTGTCCCCCCCTACCCCCCTGTTGACCATGCTGCGTGTGTGCTTGTTTACATCCTCCTCACCCTGCCTCCCTCGCCCCATATGGCATATTTTCATGCAGATATCACCATCCAAATGTCATGTTAGCTCACGCCATACCACACTCACTCACATACACATTCACACGTGCGCATACACGCAGTCACACACACACGCGCGCCCGCGCATGCACACACACACACAAACTCACTCACGCACGCACGCACGCATGTACGCACGCGCGCGCGCACACAAACACACACCATGAGCATGTTCATCGCAAAGCCAGCATGCCCTCTGCTTGCAGCGCATCCCTGGCACACGCAGGTCATCAGCTCTTCTCCTCGCTGCCTGCTGCCCGACCGCCCTCCCATCGCCCACGCCTCCTCTGCAGGGACTTCCGGTGGTGGGGATTATCCGGCAACCTGGAAATGCTCGGCCACTTCCCCCGCCTGCAATACGTGTACGCTTCACCTCTCCTGCCTGCATCGTCGTCACCCTTTCTGCCCTCATTCATCCACTGAACTCGCTGTTTGTCTCAACTCACATTTGGTCTAAATCATACAGGGCCGTACCTCCTTTGCCTTCAGCCTCTGTTGTCCGCATTCATCCCTCCGGGTTTCACGGTCCACCCCTCCTCCGCCATGCTCTCACCCGCACTATCTCACATGCAGCCTCTACCTACCCCACCCACCACCCCTCTCGCCCACCACGGACCATGGCAGAGACCTGCGCTTCACTGGATTTGAAGGGGAAATCCCTGCGTCCATCGGCAATGCCACCGCTCTCCAGCACCTGTGAGAGTGCTTTCAAGCCCTCACCCTGGATTGGTGGGGGTGAGGCTCAGCAGGGTTGCTGGCTGGGTGCGCGGAGGGGAGGGGAGGGGAGAATGACGGAGTTGGGCAGGGGGGTTTGGCAATGCGGATGTGACGAGAAGATCACGAGTGCACGTGGGGACGGACGTAATGAACTGGACTGCTCTCGCCTTCATGCCCACCTTTGCTTCTCCCACTGCCCTCTCTTGTACCGTGAGAACGGAAATTGCTCAATTTTTCCTAGCTTCACCCTAACACCCCCTCCCCCCTAGAAAGAAAAGAAAGGAAGATTGTGTCACACACATGTGTTTGTGTGCCTGCAATTGTTTACACACTGATGCATGTTCAAATTTGTGAGCTTCCGTCCCTGTGTGGTTGTGCATGCATGCTGATTCCTCCCTACCCCAGTGATTTATCAGGCATCAGCATCGCGGGACGGCTTCCCTCAACCTTCAGTCGCCTCACTGCACTCACCTTCCTGTACCCCCGCACTCTCCCACCACCCGAACGATGCACATGCAAACACGTGTTGTAGTCGAGTAGTTGTTGCGTTTTTGGTCCGATGATCCAATGTCGACAGCTACGAGTCAAGTCTCTCCACAGCGGGATCCTGCTGCCTGGAGCTAGTTTGCAAACAGTGATACGTTCGTTCGTGTGAAGGGATGGTTCTAATGCACTGCACTGTGGGTGGCGCCAGGACGTCACACACATGCCTCTACCTCCTGAGTGGACTCAAAGGCAGCTCCTCTCCTGCACGCGCCTCCCTCCCTCGCGCACTGCAGGTCCGTTGGCGATCCAATGTACCTGTGGCCCGGGGACTACACATGGCTCAATGACTTCCAGCAAGATGACCCCACTGAGTGAGATGAGACTCACGGGCCACCTGCACCTCGCATTCCACTGCATTCCATGCCAGGGAACGGCATGCCATGGCATGCCATGGCATGGCGTGGCATGGCGTGGCATGGCATGGCATGGCATGGCATGGCATGGCATGGCATGGCATGGCATGGCATGGCATGGCATGGCATGGCATGGCAGGCGTGATATGGTTTGGCATGGCATGGCATGGCATGGCATGGCATGGCATGGCATGGCATGGCATGGCATGGCATGGCAATGCATGGCATGGCATGGCATGGCATGGCAATGCATGCACGCAGACTGCTGCCTTTTCTCCTGTGGCGATGCTGCCCCTGCAGTCAGAGGAGGTCCCGTGCGCACGTGCTATCAGCTGACGCTGTGAGCGCACGCATGGTTTGTCATGCCATGCATGCCATGCCACGGCATGCCCACTGCTGCTGCTGCTGCTCTGCTCCCTGCTGTGATTTCTGCTTCTGTGCCGCCCGATATACTTGTATTGTATCCCCATTCCCGCCTGTTGCTCCTTTGAATGCCGTGCGCCGATGCAGTGCGTGCGCTGTCATTGCGGCTGCTGCACCCCTGCCTACCAGCCGTGTCACACATACATGCAGCCTGCCACTTCTGGGTGCTGACGTCACAGTCCATCATGGCCCACGTGAAAATCACGCTCCTCTGTCACCCTTGGCTCTGCTGTGTGCCCTCCATCACACCAGCATTCTCTCCATTACAGCTACCTATAAGACTCCTGTGCTGCAAGGCCCCATGGCCGACCTCTCCTCTCTCGCCCCGCTCACTCGCCTCCAGCACCTGTATGCCCCTCTTCCCCTCCCCCTTCACTCATCCCTCTCCGCCTTCCCCTCTCGCTCTGCCAACACTTGACAAGCACACTGGCTTGGAAAGCACACTGCCTTGGGAAGCACACTAGCTCGGGAAGCACACTGCCTTGGGAAGCACACTGCCTTGGGAAGCACACTGGCTTGGGAAGCACACTGGCTTGGGAAGCACACTGGCTTGGAAAGCACACTGCCTTGGGAAGCACACTAGCTCGGGAAGCACACTGCCTTGGGAAGCACACTGCCTTGGGAAGCACACTGGCTTGGGAAGCACACTGGCTTGGGAAGCACACTGGCTTGGGAAGCACACTGGCTTGGGAAGCACACTGGCTTGGGAAGCACACTGGCTTGGGAAGAACACTGGCTTGGGAAGCACACTGACTTGGGAAGCACACTGGCTTGAGAAGCACACTGGCTTGGGAAGCACACTGGCTTGGGAAGCACACTGGCTTGGGAAGCACACTGGCTTGGGAAGCACACTGGCTTGGGAAGCACACTGGCTTGGGAAGCACACTGGCTTGGGAAGCACACTGGCTTGGGAAGCACACTGGCTTGGGAAGCACACTGGCTTGGGAAGCACACTGGCTTGGGAAGCACACTGGCTTGGGAAGCACACTGGCTTGAGAAGCACACTGGCTTGGGAAGCACACTGGCTTGGGAAGCACACTGGCTTGGGAAGCACACTGGCTTGGGAAGCACACTGGCTTGGGAAGCACACTGGCTTGGGAAGCACACTGGCTTGGGAAGCACACTGGCTTGGGAAGCACACTGGCTTGGGAAGCACACTGGCTTGGGAAGCACACTGGCTTGGGAAGCACACTGGCTTGGGAAGCACACTGGCTTGGGAAGCACACTGCCTTGGGAAGCACACTGCCTTGGGAAGCACACTGGCTTGGGAAGCACACTGGCTTGGGAAGCACACTGGCTTGGGAAGCACACTGCCTTGGGAAGCACACTGCCTTGGGAAGCACACTGGCTTGAGAAGCACACTTGCCTGGGAAGCACACTGGCTTGGGAAGCACACTGGCTTGGGAAGCACACTGGCTTGGGAAGCACACTGGCTTGGGAAGCACACTGGCTTGGGAAGCACACTGGCTTGGGAAGAACACTGGCTTGGGAAGCACACTGACTTGGGAAGCACACTGCCTTGGGAAGCACACTGGCTTGGGAAGCACACTGGCTTGGGAAGCACACTGGCTTGGGAAGCACACTGGCTTGGGAAGCACACTGGCTTGGGAAGCACACTGGCTTGAGAAGCACACTGGCTTGGGAAGCACACTGGCTTGGGAAGCACACTGGCTTGGGAAGCACACTGCCTTGGGAAGCACACTGCCTTGGGAAGCACACTGCCTTGGGAAGCACACTGCCTTGGGAAGCACACTGGCTTGAGACGCACACTGGCCTGGGAAGCACACTGGCTTGGGAAGCACACTGGCTTGGGAAGCACACTGGCTTGGGAAGCACACTGGCTTGGGAAGCACACTGGCTTGGGAAGCACACTGGCTTGGGAAGCACACTGGCTTGGGAAGCACACTGGCTTGGGAAGCACACTGGCTTGGGAAGCACACTGGCTTGGGAAGCACACTGGCTTGGGAAGCACACTGGCTTGGGAAGCACACTGCCTTGGGAAGCACACTGCCTTGGGAAGCACACTGGCTTGAGAAGCACACTGGCCTGGGAAGCACACTGGCTTGGGAAGCACACTGGCTTGGGAAGCACACTGGCTTGGGAAGCACACTGGCTTGGGAAGCACACTGGCTTGGGAAGCACACTGGCTTGGGAAGAACACTGGCTTGGGAAGCACACTGACTTGGGAAGCACACTGCCTTGGGAAGCACACTGGCTTGGGAAGCACACTGGCTTGGGAAGCACACTGGCTTGGAAAGCACACTGCCTTGGGAAGCACACTAGCTCGGGAAGCACACTGCCTTGGGAAGCACACTGCCTTGGGAAGCACACTGGCTTGGGAAGCACACTGGCTTGGGAAGCACACTGGCTTGGGAAGCACACTGGCTTGGGAAGCACACTGGCTTGGGAAGCACACTGGCTTGGGAAGAACACTGGCTTGGGAAGCACACTGACTTGGGAAGCACACTGGCTTGAGAAGCACACTGGCTTGGGAAGCACACTGGCTTGGGAAGCACACTGGCTTGGGAAGCACACTGGCTTGGGAAGCACACTGGCTTGGGAAGCACACTGGCTTGGGAAGCACACTGGCTTGGGAAGCACACTGGCTTGGGAAGCACACTGGCTTGGGAAGCACACTGGCTTGGGAAGCACACTGGCTTGGGAAGCACACTGGCTTGGGAAGCACACTGGCTTGAGAAGCACACTGGCTTGGGAAGCACACTGGCTTGGGAAGCACACTGGCTTGGGAAGCACACTGGCTTGGGAAGCACACTGGCTTGGGAAGCACACTGGCTTGGGAAGCACACTGGCTTGGGAAGCACACTGGCTTGGGAAGCACACTGGCTTGGGAAGCACACTGGCTTGGGAAGCACACTGGCTTGGGAAGCACACTGGCTTGGGAAGCACACTGGCTTGGGAAGCACACTGGCTTGGGAAGCACACTGCCTTGGGAAGCACACTGCCTTGGGAAGCACACTGGCTTGGGAAGCACACTGGCTTGGGAAGCACACTGGCTTGGGAAGCACACTGCCTTGGGAAGCACACTGCCTTGGGAAGCACACTGGCTTGAGAAGCACACTTGCCTGGGAAGCACACTGGCTTGGGAAGCACACTGGCTTGGGAAGCACACTGGCTTGGGAAGCACACTGGCTTGGGAAGCACACTGGCTTGGGAAGCACACTGGCTTGGGAAGAACACTGGCTTGGGAAGCACACTGACTTGGGAAGCACACTGCCTTGGGAAGCACACTGGCTTGGGAAGCACACTGGCTTGGGAAGCACACTGGCTTGGGAAGCACACTGGCTTGGGAAGCACACTGGCTTGGGAAGCACACTGGCTTGAGAAGCACACTGGCTTGGGAAGCACACTGGCTTGGGAAGCACACTGGCCTTGGGAAGCACACTGCCTTGGGAAGCACACTGCCTTGGGAAGCACACTGCCTTGGGAAGCACACTGGCTTGAGACGCACACTGGCCTGGGAAGCACACTGGCTTGGGAAGCACACTGGCTTGGGAAGCACACTGGCTTGGGAAGCACACTGGCTTGGGAAGCACACTGGCTTGGGAAGCACACTGGCTTGGGAAGCACACTGGCTTGGGAAGCACACTGGCTTGGGAAGCACACTGGCTTGGGAAGCACACTGGCTTGGGAAGCACACTGGCTTGGGAAGCACACTGGCTTGGGAAGCACACTGGCTTGGGAAGCACACTGCCTTGGGAAGCACACTGCCTTGGGAAGCACACTGGCTTGAGAAGCACACTGGCCTGGGAAGCACACTGGCTTGGGAAGCACACTGGCTTGGGAAGCACACTGGCTTGGGAAGCACACTGGCTTGGGAAGCACACTGGCTTGGGAAGCACACTGGCTTGGGAAGAACACTGGCTTGGGAAGCACACTGACTTGGGAAGCACACTGCCTTGGGAAGCACACTGGCTTGGGAAGCACACTGGCTTGGGAAGCACACTGGCTTGGGAAGCACACTGGCTTGGGAAGCACACTGGCTTGGGAAGCACACTGCCTTGGGAAGCACACTGCCTTGGGAAGCACACTGCCTTGGGAAGCACACTGGCTTGGGAAGCACACTGGCTTGGGAAGCACACTGCCTTGGGAAGCACACTGCCTTGGGAAGCACACTGCCTTGGGAAGCACACTGGCTTGGGAAGCACACTGGCTTGGGAAGCACACTGCCTTGGGAAGCACACTGGCTTGGGAAGCACACTGGCTTGGGAAGCACACTGCCTTGGGAAGCACACTGCCTTGGGAAGCACATTACCTTGGGAAACACACTGGCTTGGGAAGCACACTGGCTTGGGAAGCACACTGCCTTGGGAAGCACACTGGCTTGGGAAGCACACTGGCTTGGGAAGCACACTGGCTTGGGAAGCACACTGCCTTGGGAAGCACACTGCCTTGGGAAGCACACTGGCTTGGAAAGCACACTGGCTTGGGAAGCACACTGGCTTTGGAAGCACACTGGCTTGGGAAGCACACTGACTTGGGAAGCACACTGCCTTGGGAAGCACACTGGCTTGGGAAGCACACTGGCTTGGGAAGCACACTGGCTTGGGAAGCACACTGGCTTGGGAAGCACACTGGCTTGGGAAGCACACTGGCTTGAGAAGCACACTGGCTTGGGAAGCACACTGGCTTGGGAAGCACACTGGCTTGGGAAGCACACTGCCTTGGGAAGCACACTGCCTTGGGAAGCACACTGCCTTGGGAAGCACACTGCCTTGGGAAGCACACTGGCTTGAGACGCACACTGGCCTGGGAAGCACACTGGCTTGGGAAGCACACTGGCTTGGGAAGCACACTGGCTTGGGAAGCACACTGGATTGGGAAGCACACTGGCTTGGGAAGCACACTGGCTTGGGAAGCACACTGGCTTGGGAAGCACACTGGCTTGGGAAGCACACTGCCTTGGGAAGCACACTGCCTTGGGAAGCACACTGGCTTGGGAAGCACACTGGCTTGGGAAGCACACTGGCTTGGGAAGCACACTGCCTTGGGAAGCACACTGCCTTGGGAAGCACACTGCCTTGGGAAGCACACTGGCTTGGGAAGCACACTGGCTTGAGAAGCACACTGGCTTGGGGAGCACACTGGCTTGGGAAGCACACTGCCTTGGGAAGCACACTGCCTTGGGAAGCACACTGCCTTGGGAAGCACACTGCCTTGGGAAGCACATTACCTTGGGAAACACACTGGCTTGGGAAGCACACTGGCTTGGGAAGCACACTGCCTTGGGAAGCACACTGCCTTGGGAAGCACACATGCTTGGGAAGCACACTGCCTTGGGAAGCACACTGCCTTGGGAAGCACACTGCCTTGGGAAGCACACTGGCTTGGGAAGCACACTGGCTTGGGAAGCACACTGGCTTGGGAAGCACACTGCCTTGGGAAGCACACTGCCTTGGGAAGCACACTGCCTTGGGAAGCACACTGGCTTGGGAAGCACACTGGCTTGGGAAGCACACTGGCTTGGGAAGCACACTGCCTTGAGAAGCACACTGGCTTGGGAAGCACACTGGCTTGGGAAGCACACTGGCTTGAGAAGCACACTGGCTTGGGAAGCACACTGGCTTGGGAAGCACACTGGCTTGGGAAGCACACTGGCTTGGGAAGCACACTGCCTTGGGAAGCACACTGGCTTGGGAAGCACACTGGCTTGGGAAGCACACTGCCTTGGGAAGCACACTGCCTTGGGAAGCACACTGCCTTGGGAAGCACACTGCCTTGGGAAGCACACTGGCTTGGGAAGCACACTGGCTTGGGAAGCACACTGCCTTGGGAAGCACACTGCCTTGGGAAGCACACTGCCTTGGGAAGCACACTGGCTTGGGAAGCACACTGGCTTGGGAAGCACACTGCCTTGGGAAGCACACTGGCTTGGGAAGCACACTGGCTTGGGAAGCACACTGCCTTGGGAAGCACACTGCCTTGGGAAGCACATTACCTTGGGAAACACACTGGCTTGGGAAGCACACTGGCTTGGGAAGCACACTGCCTTGGGAAGCACACTGGCTTGGGAAGCACACTGGCTTGGGAAGCACACTGGCTTGGGAAGCACACTGGCTTGGGAAGCACACTGCCTTGGGAAGCACACTGGCTTGGGAAGCACACTGGCTTGGGAAGCACACTGGCTTTGGAAGCACACTGCCTTGGGAAGCACACTGCCTTGGGAAGCACACTGCCTTGGGAAGCACACTGGCTTGGGAAGCACACTGGCTTGGGAAGCACACTGGCTTGGGAAGCACACTGCCTTGAGAAGCACACTGGCTTGGGAAGCACACTGGCTTGGGAAGCACACTGGCTTGAGAAGCATACTGGCTTGGGAAGCACACTGGCTTGGGAAGCACACTGGCTTGGGAAGCACACTGGCTTGGGAAGCACACTGGCTTGGGAAGCACACTGCCTTGGGAAGCACACTGGCTTGGGAAGCACACTGCCTTGGGAAGCACACTGGCTTGGGAAGCACACTGGCTTGGGAAGCACACTGGCTTGGGAAGCACACTGGCTTGGGAAGCACACTGCCTTGGGAAGCACACTGCCTTGGGAAACACACTGCCTTGGGAAGCACACTGGCTTGGGAAGCACACTGGCTTGGGAAGCACACTGGCTTGGGAAGCACACTGCCTTTAGAAGCACACTGGCTTGGGAAGCACACTGGCTTGGGAAGCACACTGGCTTGAGAAGCACACTGGCTTGGGAAGCACACTGGCTTGGGAAGCACACTGGCTTGGGAAGCACACTGGCTTGGGAAGCACACTGGCTTGGGGAGCACACTGGCTTGGGAAGCACACTGGCTTGGGAAGCACACTGCCTTGGGAAGCACACTGCCTTGGGAAGCACACTGCCTTGGGAAGCACACTGGCTTGGGAAGCACACTGGCTTGGGAAGCACACTGCCTTGGGAAGCACACTGGCTTGGGAAGCACACTGGCTTCGGAAGCACACTGGCTTGGGAAGCACACTGCCTTGGGAAGCACACTGCCTTGGGAAGCACACTGCCTTGGGAAGCACATTACCTTGGGAAACACACTGGCTTGGGAAGCACACTGGCTTGGGAAGCACACTGCCTTGGGAAGCACACTGGCTTGGGAAGCACACTGGCTTGGGAAGCACACTGGCTTGGGAAGCACACTGCCTTGAGAAGCACACTGCCTTGGGAAGCACACTGGCTTGGGAAGCACACTGGCTTGGGAAGCACACTGGCTTGGGAAGCACACTGGCTTGGGAAGCACACTGCCTTGGGAAGCACACTGCCTTGGGAAGCACACTGGCTTGGGAAGCACACTGGCTTGGGAAGCACACTGGCTTGGGAAGCACACTGCCTTGAGAAGCACACTGGCTTGGGAAGCACACTGGCTTGGGAAGCACACTGGCTTGAGAAGCACACTGGCTTGGGAAGCACACTGGCTTGGGAAGCACACTGGCTTGGGAAGCACACTGGCTTGGGAAGCACACTGCCTTGGGAAGCACACTGGCTTGGGAAGCACACTGGCTTGGGAAGCACACTGCCTTGGGAAGCACACTGCCTTGGGAAGCACACTGCCTTGGGAAGCACACTGCCTTGGGAAGCACACTGGCTTGGGAAGCACACTGGCTTGGGAAGCACACTGGCTTGGGAAGCACACTGCCTTGAGAAGCACACTGGCTTGGGAAGCACACTGGCTTGGGAAGCACACTGGCTTGAGAAGCACACTGGCTTGGGAAGCACACTGGCTTGGGAAGCACACTGGCTTGGGAAGCACACTGGCTTGGGAAGCACACTGGCTTGGGAAGCACACTGGCTTGGGAAGCACACTGGCTTGGGAAGCACACTGGCTTGGGAAGCACACTGCCTTGGGAAGCACACTGCCTTGGGAAGCACACTGGCTTGGGAAGCACACTGGCTTGGGAAGCACACTGCCTTGGGAAGCACACTGCCTTGGGAAGCACACTGCCTTGGGAAGCACACTGGCTTGGGAAGCACACTGGCTTGAGAAGCACACTGGCTTCGGGAGCACACTGGCTTGGGAAGCACACTGCCTTGGGAAGCACACTGCCTTGGGAAGCACACTGCCTTGGGAAGCACACTTCCTTGGGAAGCACACTGGCTTGGGAAGCACACTGGCTTGGGAAGCACACTGCCTTGGGAAGCACACTGCCTTGGGAAGCACACTGGCTTGGGAAGCACACTGGCTTGGGAAGCACACTGCCTTGGGAAGCACACTGCCTTGGGAAGCACACTGCCTTGGGAAGCACATTACCTTGGGAAACACACTGGCTTGGGAAGCACACTGGCTTGGGAAGCACACTGCCTTGGGGAGCACACTGCCTTGGGAAGCACACTGGCTTGGGAAGCACACTGCCTTGGGAAGCACACTGCCTTGGGAAGCACACTGCCTTGGGAAGCACACTGGCTTGGGAAGCACACTGGCTTGGGAAGCACACTGGCTTGGGAAGCACACTGCCTTGGGAAGCACACTGCCTTGGGAAGCACACTGCCTTGGGAAGCACACTGGCTTGGGAAGCACACTGGCTTGGGAAGCACACTGGCTTGGGAAGCACACTGCCTTGAGAAGCACACTGGCTTGGGAAGCACACTGGCTTGGGAAGCACACTGGCTTGGGAAGCACACTGGCTTGAGAAGCACACTGGCTTGGGAAGCACACTGGCTTGGGAAGCACACTGGCTTGGGAAGCACACTGGCTTGGGAAGCACACTGCCTTGGGAAGCACACTGGCTTGGGAAGCACACTGGCTTGGGAAGCACACTGCCTTGGGAAGCACACTGCCTTGGGAAGCACACTGCCTTGGGAAGCACACTGCCTTGGGAAGCACACTGGCTTGGGAAGCACACTGGCTTGGGAAGCACACTGCCTTGGGAAGCACACTGCCTTGGGAAGCACACTGCCTTGGGAAGCACACTGGCTTGGGAAGCACACTGGCTTGGGAAGCACACTGCCTTGGGAAGCACACTGGCTTGGGAAGCACACTGGCTTGGGAAGCACACTGCCTTGGGAAGCACACTGCCTTGGGAAGCACATTACCTTGGGAAACACACTGGCTTGGGAAGCACACTGGCTTGGGAAGCACACTGCCTTGGGAAGCACACTGGCTTGGGAAGCACACTGGCTTGGGAAGCACACTGGCTTGGGAAGCACACTGCCTTGGGAAGCACACTGCCTTGGGAAGCACACTGCCTTGGGAAGCACACTGGCTTGGGAAGCACACTGGCTTTGGAAGCACACTGCCTTGGGAAGCACACTGCCTTGGGAAGCACACTGCCTTGGGAAGCACACTGGCTTGGGAAGCACACTGGCTTGGGAAGCACACTGGCTTGGGAAGCACACTGCCTTGAGAAGCACACTGGCTTGGGAAGCACACTGGCTTGGGAAGCACACTGGCTTGAGAAGCACACTGGCTTGGGAAGCACACTGGCTTGGGAAGCACACTGCCTTGGGAAGCACACTGCCTTGGGAAGCACACTGGCTTGGGAAGCACACTGCCTTGGGAAGCACACTGCCTTGGGAAGCACACTGCCTTGGGAAGCACACTGGCTTGGGAAGCACACTGCCTTGGGAAGCACACTGGCTTGGGAAGCACACTGGCTTGGGAAGCACACTGCCTTGGGAAGCACACTGCCTTGGGAAGCACACTGCCTTGGGAAGCACACTGGCTTGGGAAGCACACTGGCTTGGGAAGCACACTGGCTTGGGAAGCACACTGCCTTGAGAAGCACACTGGCTTGGGAAGCACACTGGCTTGGGAAGCACACTGGCTTGAGAAGCACACTGGCTTGGGAAGCACACTGGCTTGGGAAGCACACTGGCTTGGGAAGCACACTGGCTTGGGAAGCACACTGCCTTGGGAAGCACACTGGCTTGGGAAGCACACTGGCTTGGGAAGCACACTGCCTTGGGAAGCACACTGCCTTGGGAAGCACACTGCCTTGGGAAGCACACTGCCTTGGGAAGCACACTGGCTTGGGAAGCACACTGGCTTGGGAAGCACACTGCCTTGGGAAGCACACTGCCTTGGGAAGCACACTGCCTTGGGAAGCACACTGGCTTGGGAAGCACACTGGCTTGGGAAGCACACTGCCTTGGGAAGCACACTGGCTTGGGAAGCACACTGGCTTGGGAAGCACACTGCCTTGGGAAGCACACTGCCTTGGGAAGCACATTACCTTGGGAAACACACTGGCTTGGGAAGCACACTGGCTTGGGAAGCACACTGCCTTGGGAAGCACACTGGCTTGGGAAGCACACTGGCTTGGGAAGCACACTGGCTTGGGAAGCACACTGCCTTGGGAAGCACACTGCCTTGGGAAGCACACTGGCTTGGGAAGCACACTGGCTTGGGAAGCACACTGGCTTTGGAAGCACACTGCCTTGGGAAGCACACTGCCTTGGGAAGCACACTGCCTTGGGAAGCACACTGGCTTGGGAAGCACACTGGCTTGGGAAGCACACTGGCTTGGGAAGCACACTGCCTTGAGAAGCACACTGGCTTGGGAAGCACACTGGCTTGGGAAGCACACTGGCTTGAGAAGCACACTGCCTTGGGAAGCACACTGGCTTGGGAAGCACACTGGCTTGGGAAGCACACTGGCTTGGGAAGCACACTGGCTTGGGAAGCACACTGGCTTGGGAAGCACACTGGCTTGGGAAGCACACTGCCTTGGGAAGCACACTGGCTTGGGAAGCACACTGGCTTGGGAAGCACACTGGCTTGGGAAGCACACTGGCTTGGGAAGCACACTGCCTTGGGAAGCACACTGCCTTGGGAAGCACACTGCCTTGGGAAGCACACTGGCTTGGGAAGCACACTGGCTTGGGAAGCACACTGGCTTGGGAAGCACACTGCCTTTAGAAGCACACTGGCTTGGGAAGCACACTGGCTTGGGAAGCACACTGGCTTGAGAAGCACACTGGCTTGGGAAGCACACTGGCTTGGGAAGCACACTGGCTTGGGAAGCACACTGGCTTGGGAAGCACACTGGCTTGGGGAGCACACTGGCTTGGGAAGCACACTGGCTTGGGAAGCACACTGCCTTGGGAAGCACACTGCCTTGGGAAGCACACTGCCTTGGGAAGCACACTGGCTTGGGAAGCACACTGCCTTGGGAAGCACACTGCCTTGGGAAGCACACTGGCTTGGGAAGCACACTGGCTTGGGAAGCACACTGCCTTGGGAAGCACACTGCCTTGGGAAGCACACTGCCTTGGGAAGCACACTGGCTTGGGAAGCACACTGGCTTGGGAAGCACACTGCCTTGGGAAGCACACTGGCTTGGGAAGCACACTGGCTTGGGAAGCACACTGCCTTGGGAAGCACACTGGCTTGGGAAGCACACTGCCTTGGGAAGCACACTGGCTTGGGAAGCACACTGGCTTGGGAAGCACACTGCCTTGGGAAGCACACTGCCTTGGGAAGCACACTGCCTTGGGAAGCACACTGGCTTGGGAAGCACACTGGCTTGGGAAGCACACTGGCTTGGGAAGCACACTGCCTTGAGAAGCACACTGGCTTGGGAAGCACACTGGCTTGGGAAGCACACTGGCTTGAGAAGCACACTGGCTTGGGAAGCACACTGGCTTGGGAAGCACACTGGCTTGGGAAGCACACTGGCTTGGGAAGCACACTGCCTTGGGAAGCACACTGGCTTGGGAAGCACACTGGCTTGGGAAGCACACTGCCTTGGGAAGCACACTGCCTTGGGAAGCACACTGCCTTGGGAAGCACACTGCCTTGGGAAGCACACTGGCTTGGGAAGCACACTGGCTTGGGAAGCACACTGCCTTGGGAAGCACACTGCCTTGGGAAGCACACTGCCTTGGGAAGCACACTGGCTTGGGAAGCACACTGGCTTGGGAAGCACACTGCCTTGGGAAGCACACTGGCTTGGGAAGCACACTGGCTTGGGAAGCACACTGCCTTGGGAAGCACACTGCCTTGGGAAGCACATTACCTTGGGAAACACACTGGCTTGGGAAGCACACTGGCTTGGGAAGCACACTGCCTTGGGAAGCACACTGGCTTGGGAAGCACACTGGCTTGGGAAGCACACTGGCTTGGGAAGCACACTGCCTTGGGAAGCACACTGCCTTGGGAAGCACACTGGCTTGGGAAGCACACTGGCTTGGGAAGCACACTGGCTTTGGAAGCACACTGCCTTGGGAAGCACACTGCCTTGGGAAGCACACTGCCTTGGGAAGCACACTGGCTTGGGAAGCACACTGGCTTGGGAAGCACACTGGCTTGGGAAGCACACTGCCTTGAGAAGCACACTGGCTTGGGAAGCACACTGGCTTGGGAAGCACACTGGCTTGAGAAGCACACTGGCTTGGGAAGCACACTGGCTTGGGAAGCACACTGGCTTGGGAAGCACACTGGCTTGGGAAGCACACTGGCTTGGGAAGCACACTGCCTTGGGAAGCACACTGGCTTGGGAAGCACACTGCCTTGGGAAGCACACTGGCTTGGGAAGCACACTGGCTTGGGAAGCACACTGGCTTGGGAAGCACACTGGCTTGGGAAGCACACTGCCTTGGGAAGCACACTGCCTTGGGAAGCACACTGCCTTGGGAAGCACACTGGCTTGGGAAGCACACTGGCTTGGGAAGCACACTGGCTTGGGAAGCACACTGCCTTTAGAAGCACACTGGCTTGGGAAGCACACTGGCTTGGGAAGCACACTGGCTTGAGAAGCACACTGGCTTGGGAAGCACACTGCCTTGGGAAGCACACTGGCTTGGGAAGCACACTGGCTTGGGAAGCACACTGGCTTGGGAAGCACACTGCCTTGAGAAGCACACTGGCTTGGGAAGCACACTGGCTTGGGAAGCACACTGGCTTGAGAAGCACACTGCCTTGGGAAGCACACTGGCTTGGGAAGCACACTGGCTTGGGAAGCACACTGGCTTGGGAAGCACACTGCCTTTAGAAGCACACTGGCTTGGGAAGCACACTGGCTTGGGAAGCACACTGGCTTGAGAAGCACACTGGCTTGGGAAGCACACTGGCTTGGGAAGCACACTGGCTTGGGAAGCACACTGGCTTGGGAAGCACACTGGCTTGGGGAGCACACTGGCTTGGGAAGCACACTGGCTTGGGAAGCACACTGCCTTGGGAAGCACACTGCCTTGGGAAGCACACTGCCTTGGGAAGCACACTGGCTTGGGAAGCACACTGCCTTGGGAAGCACACTGCCTTGGGAAGCACACTGGCTTGGGAAGCACACTGGCTTGGGAAGCACACTGCCTTGGGAAGCACACTGCCTTGGGAAGCACACTGCCTTGGGAAGCACACTGGCTTGGGAAGCACACTGGCTTGGGAAGCACACTGCCTTGGGAAGCACACTGGCTTGGGAAGCACACTGGCTTGGGAAGCACACTGCCTTGGGAAGCACACTGGCTTGGGAAGCACACTGCCTTGGGAAGCACACTGGCTTGGGAAGCACACTGGCTTGGGAAGCACACTGCTTGGGAAGCACACTGCCTTGGGAAGCACACTGCCTTGGGAAGCACACTGGCTTGGGAAGCACACTGCCTTGGGAAGCACACTGCCTTGGGAAGCACACTGGCTTGGGAAGCACACTGCCTTGGGAAGCACACTGCCTTGGGAAGCACACTGCCTTGGGAAGCACACTGGCTTGGGAAGCACACTGGCTTGGGAAGCACACTGGCTTGGGAAGCACACTGGCTTGGGAAGCACACTGGCTTGGGAAGCACACTGCCTTGAGAAGCACACTGGCTTGGGAAGCACACTGGCTTGGGAAGCACACTGGCTTGAGAAGCACACTGGCTTGGGAAGCACACTGGCTTGGGAAGCACACTGGCTTGGGAAGCACACTGGCTTGGGAAGCACACTGGCTTGGGAAGCACACTGCCTTGGGAAGCACACTGGCTTGGGAAGCACACTGCCTTGGGAAGCACACTGGCTTGGGAAGCACACTGGCTTGGGAAGCACACTGGCTTGGGAAGCACACTGGCTTGGGAAGCACACTGCCTTGGGAAGCACACTGCCTTGGGAAGCACACTGCCTTGGGAAGCACACTGGCTTGGGAAGCACACTGGCTTGGGAAGCACACTGGCTTGGGAAGCACACTGCCTTTAGAAGCACACTGGCTTGGGAAGCACACTGGCTTGGGAAGCACACTGGCTTGAGAAGCACACTGGCTTGGGAAGCACACTGCCTTGGGAAGCACACTGGCTTGGGAAGCACACTGGCTTGGGAAGCACACTGGCTTGGGAAGCACACTGCCTTGAGAAGCACACTGGCTTGGGAAGCACACTGGCTTGGGAAGCACACTGGCTTGAGAAGCACACTGCCTTGGGAAGCACACTGGCTTGGGAAGCACACTGGCTTGGGAAGCACACTGGCTTGGGAAGCACACTGCCTTTAGAAGCACACTGGCTTGGGAAGCACACTGGCTTGGGAAGCACACTGGCTTGAGAAGCACACTGGCTTGGGAAGCACACTGGCTTGGGAAGCACACTGGCTTGGGAAGCACACTGGCTTGGGAAGCACACTGGCTTGGGGAGCACACTGGCTTGGGAAGCACACTGGCTTGGGAAGCACACTGCCTTGGGAAGCACACTGCCTTGGGAAGCACACTGCCTTGGGAAGCACACTGGCTTGGGAAGCACACTGCCTTGGGAAGCACACTGCCTTGGGAAGCACACTGGCTTGGGAAGCACACTGGCTTGGGAAGCACACTGCCTTGGGAAGCACACTGCCTTGGGAAGCACACTGCCTTGGGAAGCACACTGGCTTGGGAAGCACACTGGCTTGGGAAGCACACTGCCTTGGGAAGCACACTGGCTTGGGAAGCACACTGGCTTGGGAAGCACACTGCCTTGGGAAGCACACTGGCTTGGGAAGCACACTGCCTTGGGAAGCACACTGGCTTGGGAAGCACACTGGCTTGGGAAGCACACTGCCTTGGGAAGCACACTGCCTTGGGAAGCACACTGCCTTGGGAAGCACACTGGCTTGGGAAGCACACTGGCTTGGGAAGCACACTGGCTTGGGAAGCACACTGCCTTGAGAAGCACACTGGCTTGGGAAGCACACTGGCTTGGGAAGCACACTGGCTTGAGAAGCACACTGCCTTGGGAAGCACACTGGCTTGGGAAGCACACTGGCTTGGGAAGCACACTGGCTTGGGAAGCACACTGCCTTGGGAAGCACACTGGCTTGGGAAGCACACTGGCTTGGGAAGCACACTGCCTTGGGAAGCACACTGCCTTGGGAAGCACACTGCCTTGGGAAGCACACTGCCTTGGGAAGCACACTGGCTTGGGAAGCACACTGGCTTGGGAAGCACACTGCCTTGGGAAGCACACTGCCTTGGGAAGCACACTGCCTTGGGAAGCACACTGGCTTGGGAAGCACACTGGCTTGGGAAGCACACTGCCTTGGGAAGCACACTGGCTTGGGAAGCACACTGGCTTGGGAAGCACACTGCCTTGGGAAGCACACTGCCTTGGGAAGCACATTACCTTGGGAAACACACTGGCTTGGGAAGCACACTGGCTTGGGAAGCACACTGCCTTGGGAAGCACACTGGCTTGGGAAGCACACTGGCTTGGGAAGCACACTGGCTTGGGAAGCACACTGCCTTGGGAAGCACACTGCCTTGGGAAGCACACTGGCTTGGGAAGCACACTGGCTTGGGAAGCACACTGGCTTTGGAAGCACACTGCCTTGGGAAGCACACTGCCTTGGGAAGCACACTGCCTTGGGAAGCACACTGGCTTGGGAAGCACACTGGCTTGGGAAGCACACTGGCTTGGGAAGCACACTGCCTTGAGAAGCACACTGGCTTGGGAAGCACACTGGCTTGGGAAGCACACTGGCTTGAGAAGCACACTGGCTTGGGAAGCACACTGGCTTGGGAAGCACACTGGCTTGGGAAGCACACTGGCTTGGGAAGCACACTGGCTTGGGAAGCACACTGCCTTGGGAAGCACACTGGCTTGGGAAGCACACTGCCTTGGGAAGCACACTGGCTTGGGAAGCACACTGGCTTGGGAAGCACACTGGCTTGGGAAGCACACTGGCTTGGGAAGCACACTGCCTTGGGAAGCACACTGCCTTGGGAAGCACACTGCCTTGGGAAGCACACTGGCTTGGGAAGCACACTGGCTTGGGAAGCACACTGGCTTGGGAAGCACACTGCCTTTAGAAGCACACTGGCTTGGGAAGCACACTGGCTTGGGAAGCACACTGGCTTGAGAAGCACACTGGCTTGGGAAGCACACTGGCTTGGGAAGCACACTGGCTTGGGAAGCACACTGGCTTGGGAAGCACACTGGCTTGGGGAGCACACTGGCTTGGGAAGCACACTGGCTTGGGAAGCACACTGCTTGGGAAGCACACTGCCTTGGGAAGCACACTGCCTTGGGAAGCACACTGGCCTTGGGAAGCACACTGCCTTGGGAAGCACCCTGCCTTGGGAAGCACACTGGCTTGGGAAGCACACTGGCTTGGGAAGCACACTGCCTTGGGAAGCACACTGCCTTGGGAAGCACACTGCCTTGGGAAGCACACTGGCTTGGGAAGCACACTGGCTTGGGAAGCACACTGCCTTGGGAAGCACACTGGCTTGGGAAGCACACTGGCTTGGGAAGCACACTGCCTTGGGAAGCACACTGCCTTGGGAAGCACATTACCTTGGGAAACACACTGGCTTGGGAAGCACACTGGCTTGGGAAGCACACTGCCTTGGGAAGCACACTGGCTTGGGAAGCACACTGGCTTGGGAAGCACACTGGCTTGGGAAGCACACTGCCTTGGGAAGCACACTGCCTTGGGAAGCACACTGGCTTGGGAAGCACACTGGCTTGGGAAGCACACTGGCTTTGGAAGCACACTGCCTTGGGAAGCACACTGCCTTGGGAAGCACACTGCCTTGGGAAGCACACTGGCTTGGGAAGCACACTGGCTTGGGAAGCACACTGGCTTGGGAAGCACACTGCCTTGAGAAGCACACTGGCTTGGGAAGCACACTGGCTTGGGAAGCACACTGGCTTGAGAAGCACACTGGCTTGGGAAGCACACTGGCTTGGGAAGCACACTGGCTTGGGAAGCACACTGGCTTGGGAAGCACACTGGCTTGGGAAGCACACTGGCTTGAGAAGCACACTGGCTTGGGAAGCACACTGGCTTGGGAAGCACACTGGCTTGGGAAGCACACTGGCTTGGGAAGCACACTGGCTTGGGAAGCACACTGGCTTGGGGAGCACACTGGCTTGGGAAGCACACTGGCTTGGGAAGCACACTGGCTTGGGAAGCACACTGGCTTGGGAAGCACACTGCCTTGGGAAGCACACTGCCTTGGGAAGCACACTGCCTTGGGAAGCACACTGCCTTGGGAAGCACACTGGCTTGGGAAGCACACTGGCTTGGGAAGCACACTGCCTTGGGAAGCACACTGCCTTGGGAAGCACACTGCCTTGGGAAGCACACTGGCTTGGGAAGCACACTGGCTTGGGAAGCACACTGCCTTGGGAAGCACACTGGCTTGGGAAGCACACTGGCTTGGGAAGCACACTGCCTTGGGAAGCACACTGCCTTGGGAAGCACATTACCTTGGGAAACACACTGGCTTGGGAAGCACACTGGCTTGGGAAGCACACTGCCTTGGGAAGCACACTGGCTTGGGAAGCACACTGGCTTGGGAAGCACACTGGCTTGGGAAGCACACTGCCTTGGGAAGCACACTGCCTTGGGAAGCACACTGGCTTGGGAAGCACACTGGCTTGGGAAGCACACTGGCTTTGGAAGCACACTGCCTTGGGAAGCACACTGCCTTGGGAAGCACACTGCCTTGGGAAGCACACTGGCTTGGGAAGCACACTGGCTTGGGAAGCACACTGGCTTGGGAAGCACACTGCCTTGAGAAGCACACTGGCTTGGGAAGCACACTGGCTTGGGAAGCACACTGGCTTGAGAAGCACACTGGCTTGGGAAGCACACTGGCTTGGGAAGCACACTGGCTTGGGAAGCACACTGGCTTGGGAAGCACACTGGCTTGGGAAGCACACTGCCTTGGGAAGCACACTGGCTTGGGAAGCACACTGCCTTGGGAAGCACACTGGCTTGGGAAGCACACTGGCTTGGGAAGCACACTGGCTTGGGAAGCACACTGGCTTGGGAAGCACACTGCCTTGGGAAGCACACTGCCTTGGGAAGCACACTGCCTTGGGAAGCACACTGGCTTGGGAAGCACACTGGCTTGGGAAGCACACTGGCTTGGGAAGCACACTGCCTTTAGAAGCACACTGGCTTGGGAAGCACACTGGCTTGGGAAGCACACTGGCTTGAGAAGCACACTGGCTTGGGAAGCACACTGGCTTGGGAAGCACACTGGCTTGGGAAGCACACTGGCTTGGGAAGCACACTGGCTTGGGGAGCACACTGGCTTGGGAAGCACACTGGCTTGGGAAGCACACTGCCTTGGGAAGCACACTGCCTTGGGAAGCACACTGCCTTGGGAAGCACACTGGCTTGGGAAGCACACTGGCTTGGGAAGCACACTGCCTTGGGAAGCACACTGGCTTGGGAAGCACACTGGCTTCGGAAGCACACTGGCTTGGGAAGCACACTGCCTTGGGAAGCACACTGCCTTGGGAAGCACACTGCCTTGGGAAGCACATTACCTTGGGAAACACACTGGCTTGGGAAGCACACTGGCTTGGGAAGCACACTGCCTTGGGAAGCACACTGGCTTGGGAAGCACACTGGCTTGGGAAGCACACTGGCTTGGGAAGCACACTGCCTTGAGAAGCACACTGCCTTGGGAAGCACACTGGCTTGGGAAGCACACTGGCTTGGGAAGCACACTGGCTTGGGAAGCACACTGGCTTGGGAAGCACACTGCCTTGAGAAGCACACTGCCTTGGGAAGCACACTGGCTTGGGAAGCACACTGGCTTGGGAAGCACACTGGCTTGGGAAGCACACTGCCTTGGGAAGCACACTGCCTTGGGAAGCACACTGCCTTGGGAAGCACACTGGCTTGGGAAGCACACTGGCTTGGGAAGCACACTGGCTTGGGAAGCACACTGCCTTGGGAAGCACACTGCCTTGGGAAGCACACTGCCTTGGGAAGCACACTGGCTTGGGAAGCACACTGGCTTGGGAAGCACACTGGCTTGGGAAGCACACTGCCTTTAGAAGCACACTGGCTTGGGAAGCACACTGGCTTGGGAAGCACACTGGCTTGAGAAGCACACTGGCTTGGGAAGCACACTGGCTTGGGAAGCACACTGGCTTGGGAAGCACACTGGCTTGGGAAGCACACTGGCTTGGGGAGCACACTGGCTTGGGAAGCACACTGGCTTGGGAAGCACACTGCCTTGGGAAGCACACTGCCTTGGGAAGCACACTGCCTTGGGAAGCACACTGGCTTGGGAAGCACACTGCCTTGGGAAGCACACTGCCTTGGGAAGCACACTGGCTTGGGAAGCACACTGGCTTGGGAAGCACACTGCCTTGGGAAGCACACTGCCTTGGGAAGCACACTGCCTTGGGAAGCACACTGGCTTGGGAAGCACACTGGCTTGGGAAGCACACTGCCTTGGGAAGCACACTGGCTTGGGAAGCACACTGGCTTGGGAAGCACACTGCCTTGGGAAGCACACTGCCTTGGGAAGCACATTACCTTGGGAAACACACTGGCTTGGGAAGCACACTGGCTTGGGAAGCACACTGCCTTGGGAAGCACACTGGCTTGGGAAGCACACTGGCTTGGGAAGCACACTGGCTTGGGAAGCACACTGCCTTGGGAAGCACACTGCCTTGGGAAGCACACTGGCTTGGGAAGCACACTGGCTTGGGAAGCACACTGGCTTTGGAAGCACACTGCCTTGGGAAGCACACTGCCTTGGGAAGCACACTGCCTTGGGAAGCACACTGGCTTGGGAAGCACACTGGCTTGGGAAGCACACTGGCTTGGGAAGCACACTGCCTTGAGAAGCACACTGGCTTGGGAAGCACACTGGCTTGGGAAGCACACTGGCTTGAGAAGCACACTGGCTTGGGAAGCACACTGGCTTGGGAAGCACACTGGCTTGGGAAGCACACTGGCTTGGGAAGCACACTGGCTTGGGAAGCACACTGGCTTGGGGAGCACACTGGCTTGGGAAGCACACTGGCTTGGGAAGCACACTGGCTTGGGAAGCACACTGGCTTGGGAAGCACACTGCCTTGGGAAGCACACTGCCTTGGGAAGCACACTGCCTTGGGAAGCACACTGCCTTGGGAAGCACACTGGCTTGGGAAGCACACTGGCTTGGGAAGCACACTGCCTTGGGAAGCACACTGCCTTGGGAAGCACACTGCCTTGGGAAGCACACTGGCTTGGGAAGCACACTGGCTTGGGAAGCACACTGCCTTGGGAAGCACACTGGCTTGGGAAGCACACTGGCTTGGGAAGCACACTGCCTTGGGAAGCACACTGCCTTGGGAAGCACATTACCTTGGGAAACACACTGGCTTGGGAAGCACACTGGCTTGGGAAGCACACTGCCTTGGGAAGCACACTGGCTTGGGAAGCACACTGGCTTGGGAAGCACACTGGCTTGGGAAGCACACTGCCTTGGGAAGCACACTGCCTTGGGAAGCACACTGGCTTGGGAAGCACACTGGCTTGGGAAGCACACTGGCTTTGGAAGCACACTGCCTTGGGAAGCACACTGCCTTGGGAAGCACACTGCCTTGGGAAGCACACTGGCTTGGGAAGCACACTGGCTTGGGAAGCACACTGGCTTGGGAAGCACACTGCCTTGAGAAGCACACTGGCTTGGGAAGCACACTGGCTTGGGAAGCACACTGGCTTGAGAAGCACACTGGCTTGGGAAGCACACTGGCTTGGGAAGCACACTGGCTTGGGAAGCACACTGGCTTGGGAAGCACACTGGCTTGGGAAGCACACTGCCTTGGGAAGCACACTGGCTTGGGAAGCACACTGCCTTGGGAAGCACACTGGCTTGGGAAGCACACTGGCTTGGGAAGCACACTGGCTTGGGAAGCACACTGGCTTGGGAAGCACACTGCCTTGGGAAGCACACTGCCTTGGGAAGCACACTGCCTTGGGAAGCACACTGGCTTGGGAAGCACACTGGCTTGGGAAGCACACTGGCTTGGGAAGCACACTGCCTTTAGAAGCACACTGGCTTGGGAAGCACACTGGCTTGGGAAGCACACTGGCTTGAGAAGCACACTGGCTTGGGAAGCACACTGGCTTGGGAAGCACACTGGCTTGGGAAGCACACTGGCTTGGGAAGCACACTGGCTTGGGGAGCACACTGGCTTGGGAAGCACACTGCCTTGGGAAGCACACTGCCTTGGGAAGCACACTGCCTTGGGAAGCACACTGCCTTGGGAAGCACACTGGCTTGGGAAGCACACTGGCTTGGGAAGCACACTGCCTTGGGAAGCACACTGGCTTGGGAAGCACACTGGCTTCGGAAGCACACTGGCTTGGGAAGCACACTGCCTTGGGAAGCACACTGCCTTGGGAAGCACACTGCCTTGGGAAGCACATTACCTTGGGAAACACACTGGCTTGGGAAGCACACTGGCTTGGGAAGCACACTGCCTTGGGAAGCACACTGGCTTGGGAAGCACACTGGCTTGGGAAGCACACTGGCTTGGGAAGCACACTGCCTTGAGAAGCACACTGCCTTGGGAAGCACACTGGCTTGGGAAGCACACTGGCTTGGGAAGCACACTGGCTTGGGAAGCACACTGCCTTGGGAAGCACACTGCCTTGGGAAGCACACTGCCTTGGGAAGCACACTGGCTTGGGAAGCACACTGGCTTGGGAAGCACACTGGCTTGGGAAGCACACTGCCTTGAGAAGCACACTGGCTTGGGAAGCACACTGGCTTGGGAAGCACACTGGCTTGAGAAGCACACTGGCTTGGGAAGCACACTGGCTTGGGAAGCACACTGGCTTGGGAAGTACACTGGCTTGGGAAGCACACTGCCTTGGGAAGCACACTGGCTTGGGAAGCACACTGGCTTGGGAAGCACACTGCCTTGGGAAGCACACTGCCTTGGGAAGCACACTGCCTTGGGAAGCACACTGCCTTGGGAAGCACACTGGCTTGGGAAGCACACTGGCTTGGGAAGCACACTGGCTTGGGAAGCACACTGCCTTGAGAAGCACACTGGCTTGGGAAGCACACTGGCTTGGGAAGCACACTGGCTTGAGAAGCACACTGGCTTGGGAAGCACACTGGCTTGGGAAGCACACTGGCTTGGGAAGCACACTGCCTTGGGAAGCACACTGCCTTGGGAAGCACACTGCCTTGGGAAGCACACTGGCTTGGGAAGCACACTGCCTTGGGAAGCACACTGCCTTGGGAAGCACACTGCCTTGGGAAGCACACTGCCTTGGGAAGCACACTGGCTTGGGAAGCACACTGGCTTGGGAAGCACACTGCCTTGGGAAGCACACTGCCTTGGGAAGCACACTGCCTTGGGAAGCACACTGCCTTGGGAAGCACACTGCCTTGGGAAGCACACTGCCTTGGGAAGCACACTGCCTTGGGAAGCACACTGGCTTGGGAAGCACACTGGCTTGGGAAGCACACTGCCTTGGGAAGCACACTGCCTTGGGAAGCACACTGCCTTGGGAAGCACACTGCCTTAGGAAGCACACTACCTTGGGAAACACACTGGTTTGGGAAGCACACTGGCTTGGGAAGCACACTGCCTTGGGAAGCACACTGGCTTGGGAAGCACACTTTTTGGGAAGCACACTGGCTTGGGAAGCACTCCTCACAACCCTCCCATCCTCGCCCGTGCACCTGTCCCCTGTCCTACCATCTCCCCCTTGCCCGCCCTTCCTCAACTCTCTGCGCGTGTCCTATGCTCCCCCCATCTCCATTCCCCTCAGCGCTCTTCGAAATCTTCACCTTACACCCGGGCCGCTCCCGCCAGCTCTCTCCACCCTCACTCTTCTCACGCACCTGTAAGCTCACAGTCATTGTTTTTGTATGCACGCGTCTCCCCCTTGCTTTATTTTGCTGCTGCAAATTGTTTTGTTCTCCTCCATCTCCCTCCTGTATGTCCCGCCTCTGTCTCATTCTCGCCCCCTCCCCCTTTCACGCAGGGACATCCAGTTCCTCCCAGCCACCAGCCTCCCCTCATGGATTGCCATGCTCTCTTCTCTCAAATACCTGTGCGTACCGCCACACGTGCCACCACACGTGCCACCACACGTGCCACCACACGTGCCACCACACGTGCCACCACACGTGCCACCACACGTGCCACCACACGTGCCACCACACGTGCCACCACACGTGCCACCACACGTGCCACCACACGTGCCACCACACGTGCCACCACACGTGCCACCACACGTGCCACCACACGTGCCACCACACGTGCCACCACACGTGCCACCACACGTGCCACCACACGTGCCACCACACGTGCCACCACACGTGCCACCACACGTGCCACCACACGTGCCACCACACGTGCCACCACACGTGCCACCACACGTGCCACCACACGTGCCACCACACGTGCCACCACACATGCCACCACACGTGCCACCACACGTGCCACCACACGTGCCACCACACGTGCCGCCACACGTGCCACCACACGTGCCACCACACGTGCCACCACACGTGCCACCACACGTGCCACCACACGTGCCACCACACGTGCCACCACACGTGCCACCACACGTGCCACCACACGTGCCACCACACGTGCCACCACACGTGCCGCCACACGTGCCACCACACGTGCCACCACACGTGCCACCACACGTGCCACCACACGTGCCACCACACGTGCCACCACACGTGCCACCACACGTGCCACCACACGTGCCACCACACGTGCACACGTGCCACCACACGTGCCACCACACGTGCCACCACACGTGCCACCACACGTGCCACCACACGTGCCACCACACGTGCCACCACACGTGCCACCACACGTGCCACCACACGTGCCACCACACGTGCCACCACACGTGCCACCACACGTGCCACCACACGTGCCACCACACGTGCCACCACACGTGCCACCACACGTGCCACCACACGTGCCACCACACGTGCCACCACACGTGCCACCACACGTGCCACCACACGTGCCACCACACGTGCCACCACACGTGCCACCACACGTGCCACCACACGTGCCACCACACGTGCCACCACACGTGCCACCACACGTGCCACCACACGTGCCACCACACGTGCCACCACACGTGCCACCACACGTGCCACCACACGTGCCACCACACGTGCCACCACACGTGCCACCACACGTGCCACCACACGTGCCACCACACGTGCCACCACACGTGCCACCACACGTGCCACCACACGTGCCACCACACGTGCCACCACACGTGCCACCACACGTGCCACCACACGTGCCACCACACGTGCCACCACACGTGCCACCACACGTGCCACCACACGTGCCACCACACGTGCCACCACACGTGCCACCACACGTGCCACCACACGTGCCACCACACGTGCCACCACACGTGCCACCACACGTGCCACCACACGTGCCACCACACGTGCCACCACACGTGCCACCACACGTGCCGCCACACGTGCCACCACACGTGCCACCACACGTGCCACCACACGTGCCACCACACGTGCCACCACACGTGCCACCACACGTGCCACCACACGTGCCGCCACACGTGCCACCACACGTGCCACCACACGTGCCACCACACGTGCCACCACACGTGCCGCCACACGTGCCACCACACGTGCCACCACACGTGCCGCCACACGTGCCACCACACGTGCCACCACACGTGCCACCACACGTGCCACCACACGTGCCACCACACGTGCCACCACACGTGCCACCACACGTGCCACCACACGTGCCACCACACGTGCCACCACACGTGCCACCACACGTGCCCCACACGTGCCACCACACGTGCCACCACACGTGCCACCACACGTGCCACCACACGTGCCACCACACGTGCCACCACACGTGCCACCACACGTGCCACCACACGTGCCACCACACGTGCCACCACACGTGCCACCACACGTGCCACCACACGTGCCGCCACACGTGCCACCACACGTGCCACCACACGTGCCACCACACGTGCCACCACACGTGCCACCACACGTGCCACCACACGTGCCACCACACGTGCCTTCCCCTTACCGCCCTGTGCCTCTACACGGCACCCCAGCGTCAATATCCTTGCCTACAGCTGCTCGCCCCTCTCACGGGCAGCAGAGGCACGGACCCAGCATTCTCTCTGCGCCTTCCGCATGTGCACCACCTCGTGTGCATCGTGATTCGTGACTGAGTCGGATAAGGCAATGCGCTGCCGCTGGTTACGGTGATGCCACGTGTGATAATAATGGAGCTCAACTGATTGATGAGGAAAGAAGGCACTAGGCCTTAAGTACAAACGAGGTTGGGATGGGCAAGGCTAGGGAAAGGATGGGATGGGAATCCTAGCAAATCTCCAATTGGTGAGTAGGCAGATTTTCAGGATTGCAAGGGAATCCCAACCAGATAGGATTGGGATCACAAACTACACCCAACCTGCAAATAACCTACGCGATATAGAATACAGTACACAAAGTGTTGACAGCCTAATTCTAACAACGTGCACTGCTCCCTCCCGCATGCCTCTCCACTGACTGAAGTGACCCTTGCCTCCCCCGACCCTCCTGCCCTTTACCGCTCTGCAGGGATGTCACTGGCAACTTTAGCTTCCACCGTTCTGCACCATTCCCCACCCACTGGATGGCGCTCACAGGACTGGAGACAGTGTGAGCCATCACTGGGTCACGAGCACGCCATCGAGGTGTAGCACCTTTGAGCTGTAGAGCCAAGCATTCACAGTGCATTCTCCCACTGTTCCATTCTTTCATTCTTGCCATTGCCCTGTGACCCACCCAGCCCCACCCCCTTGCTTACCAGCCAGCAGTGCGCTCATTCCTTCTCTCGCCCCCCCTCTCCCTCCTCCAGGAGGGCCGGTCTGAATGGCTTCACTGGCTCTATCCCCTCCACCATCTCCGCCCTCACTGCCCTCACTGACCTGTACGGCTCCCTCCTTGCTCTCTCTGTCTGCCTCCTTTCCACTCCTCACTCTTCGCCTGCTTCCCTTCGCCCTCGTTGGCATCAACTCTACGAGGGTATCCATTCATGCACCAATCCACAATGATCATCCAACGCGGGCTAAGCAATGGATGGTGGGTAAGCGATGAAGCAGCAATCCGCAATGACAACTCCACAATGGCAAATCCGCAATGACAAATCCGCAATCACAAATCCGCAATCACAAATCCGCAATCACAAATCCGCAATCACAAATCCGCAATGACAAATCTGCAATGACAAATCTGCAATGACAAATCCACAATGACTGACTAAATTTGACAGTGCTATTGATTCAATTCCTGTTTCGTCCCATCTATACCTGTGTGCCCTCCCCTGTCCCCATGCGGGCAACAGAGAGCTCTACTACAACAACATCTCGGGGACCATACCTGCTGCCATTGCCCACCTTCCCCTCACCTACCTGTGAGCCCCACTCGTCTCCTCCCACCTACACACCCACTTGCACTCACGTGTTTGGAACTCTCCTTCTGCCCCTCTTCCCTTCCCCTTTCCCGGCGTACCCTTCGCCCCTTCATTTCCTTGATCCGTCTCTGTCTGCTCCCCCTGCATCGATCCCTCCCCCACCCCCTCCCCCTCCCCCTCCCTTCCGTCCCCCCATGTCCCACATCACATGGCACCACATGGCTGGCATGGCATGGCACAGGAGCCTCTTCTCCAACATGCTCTCGGGCACCATCCCTGCCCTCGACTCCTTGCCGCTCTCCTCCCTGTCAGTGCTTGTGACAAGTGCTTGTGAGGGCGTGTCAGTGCTGGGCCTCGTACACCATCCATCTCTATGCTCTGACTGGTTATCCTTGCTGCTGCAATCTCACGTCACAAGTGCACCATTCAACAATATTTGAAGGCCGGTTAGGTTCTGGAAAACCAGCTCTACTGGGAATCTGTTGTCCCCTCTTCATAACCCGTGCGGCCTGCCTTTCTCGCCCGCCTGCCCACCCGCCCGCCTGTCTGCCCGTCTGCCCGTCTGCCCTGCCATGTGTCCATGTGCGTGCCTCCCTGCAGGGACCTCTCGTACAACCACCTCTCGGGCTCCTTGCCTACTGCCCTTGGCTCCATTCCAGAATTATTGTGAGCCACTGAGAGTCACAGGCTGCAGCAGACTAGAGGGAGGCACCGTGTGGTATGCTATCGGAGGATCTTCTGGTGAGAAGCCAAGTAAAGATCGGCGGGAGGCCGGAGATAATGCAGCATGGTGAGGCAACTCAAGCCAGCTTGAATAACCGGTGCCTCACCGGCTCGTCAGGCTAAGTGGCTTGTCGGGCTCACCACCTTGCTGGACACGTGTCAAGCCCCGTCACGACTCGTTGCCTGCCAGCAAACTGTGGGTTAGGCGGATCGGTAGTCGTTAGCAAGCCAGTTCTGGTAAGTTTCACATTGAGATTTCTCACAAGTGACTTGCAATCTAGGTTTCCCCTGTCACTCTGACGCCACCCAACCTGTTATGCCTCTCATTCCCTGGTGTTTTACCAGCAATAAGGCAAGAACATGTTGTTGAGTGTAAAGGGATGCTTGCAGGGTGTTGCCTGGACGCACACAAGGTTGCATGCGTCCAGGGTAGGCATGGGGAGGAAGGTCGCTCGGTTACTACATGCATCGCATTGTGCGCGAGCGAGACAATACCATAGCGTGTCTTTGCACCCAAGGTCCTCGCCACACAGCACAACGCCAGAAAACAAATCACATCACCCCTACGACGTGGGTGATGGTGGTCAACCATGGCATGGGGCATGTGACCACTGGCCAACCATGGCATGGGGCATGTGACCACTGGCCAACCATGGCATGGGGCATGTGACCACTGGCCAACCACCCTATGCATGGCATGCAAGGACGACCCCATGGTTCACTTTACTTGACAGGGTCTCATACCACTACTATTCTACCATCTACTTGTTCCCTCCTCCCCCCCCTTTCCATCTTTGACATGCATGTGCCCCCAAACTGCGTTCGTCTCAGGAAGCTGGGTCACAACGATCTTGAGGGGCCCTTGCCGACGTGCTTTGAAGATGCCAGAGGTCAAATGTGAGCTTTGCCTTGATGTTGACGCCACTCACAAGTCGCACGGCTGGGCCCCGTCGCGAATCAATATGGCCCCAACGGACAAACTCAGTTGCCCCTATGGTCCTTGTTTCCCTCCCTCTCTCCCCCCCCCCCCCTTTTTTTTTTCCCCCTCCCTTTCTCTCCACTCATCCGTCGTAAAGGGTTGTTTTCAGGTCTCACTGCCTGCCTGATTTGCCTGCTCTTGCCCTCCACCCGTGCCCCACCCCCCATGGTAGTGATCTGAGTTTCAACAAGCTCTCAGGCTCCATCCCACTGACCTTCATTGATGCCATGCCATGGCACCGGATGTAAGTCCCCAACTGCAAGCACAGTGGCATAGCAGCAGCTGTGTGACACGTCGCAACACCATGCCAGCAACATGTGCCATGCCCCACTGCACCACACGCCATCTCCCCCCTTGCTCGCTTGATCCCTTCTCCCTCAATGTCTGCTCCCATTCTCCCTTGCTCCCTTCTCTTGTTCCCTTCTCCCGTGCTCCATTCTACCTTGTTTCCTTCTCCCTTGCTCCTCTCTCTATCACTTGCTCCTTTCTTCCTTGGACCTTTATCTGTTTCATTTTCTCCCTTGTTATTTTCTCCATTTCTCCCTTCTCCCTGCTCCTGGCTCCGTTCTCCCTCCCCCCCCCCTCTTCCTCGCACCCAGGAACCTCACTAGCTCGGGGCTGACCTGTCCTGCAGACGGCAGCGAGTGTGGGCAGCAGCAGAGCAACACCTCCTCCTTCTGCACCGTCTGCCTCTCCTTCTGCTCCTCCTGCACGCCCCGTGCATGTAAGTACCTGTGCTGCCTTGAGAGCGAAGATATGAACATGGGAATGCTGCCACACCACCTTCAACAGAGTGTGATGTGATCACACACACAGGTGGTTAGTGCATGGATAAATGGAGTGTGTGGTGTGAGGGGTCAGGGTTGCGTTGCAGTGCATGCACATGCCGACATCGTATGGAACATTCAGGTGGCTATCTTGTGTATGTAACACGGTACATGCATTTATTAAGCATGCAGCATGCATCAATCAACATGCAACATGCGACGTGCACTGTGCATCCATCCGTGTCCACACTGCAGTATCAGCGCCCACCACCCCGCCAGCTGCTTCCCAGGCGACAGCTCAGCCCTCCCACGCAGCTTCCCCACCCTCTCCTCCCACGACCACAGCTGCTCGCTCCATGCCAAATGCTGCCACCATCAGTCTTGCTCTTCTTGTTGCTGTCGCCGCTCTTCTCGCAGTGCTTACTCTAGAAAGAAAACGAACTCACAAGGGCTTTAGATCACTACCTATCGACATTGAGATGTGAGTCCAGGAGTTGGGCGAGCTATGCAGGTTCGGTCGTGTGCTACCACAACCTGCACTACGCTGCGCCATGCTCGGCGTTTGCCTGTCTAGTGCCTCCCTGTCCTTCTCCAGAAAGTGGTATTGTGTTGTTCATGAGATGATTTTTCCCATAAGCTTGTTCCACGCCAATCTATTTTATTCAGTTGAGTTCGTGTGATGTTGCAACACCCAGAAGCTCGCCACAGGGTGCAAACGAGCTACGGCAAATCAATAGATCTAGTATGATTTTTAAAATACCGGTATATTCCTATCTACACGACACAAACAAGGCCTATCCATACCATGCCACTGCTTACAGGGCTGGAGGAAAAAAACTAGAGATGAACCAGCAATAAATACAAAGAAATGCCTCGAATAGAGGGCTAAAACCTACAAGCAAGAGGGATGACAGGTTTGTGGTGGATAGTCATAGCAATACGAGCAAGTAGGCTATAGCAGAGCCACGAGGGAGAGCGCAGCAGTCAAGAGGAGGGGGACTGCACACAGCACACACACAAATCGAAGAAATCGGGGAATGTTAAACATGTGGGTTGAAGAGCGGTTGCACCCATAGCCATCACGGATGCACACAGCACAGGCACTCACACGAAGAGAGGAGAAAGGAGCGTCATCGGCAAGAAATGAGGGGGAGAAAAGGGAGAAGAGAGTGGAGGAGGAGGCAGCAGCGCTCACCTGCAGCAGCCTTGCTCTGTGCTTTACCCGCAGGGGGTGACCCAGCAGGTGGTGCTGGCGTGCCACTCGCCGCACTCTTAGACGCATCCTGCCCAGCACTGCTAGACCCAGCTGCCGCAGGAGCACCAGCACCCGTGGCAGCACTGTCGTCGGGCTGCCCGCCAGTCGCAGCGCCATTCGTACCCGCGCCGTTCGTGCTGCCATTAGCAACGCCACCAGGCGCTACGACAGGCATGGCGATGGGCATAGGCACAGGCACGCCACCCTCTCCCTCGCCCCCGCCGCCCTTGTCAAACACAGGCATGTCCCTGTAGTGGGGGAAGAGCACGCCATCGACGCCATGCACCACAATGCCAGCGCTGTCCATCAGATCAGCCCGCACCACCCGAGCCACGTTCATGTCGCTGCCAGCCTGCTCCCACATCATATTAGAGCCTGCCGCCCAGGCGGAGGAGGCGTTGAGCCACGCGAGGTATTCAGTGGCAGTCACGTTCAGCCCTGGCACGGCCTGGTTCATCCACTCAGTCGCATTCCCCCACCACTGCTGCTGCGCCTCCGCGCTCCAGTTGCCCCAGTCGCCCCCCATGCCCCACCCGCCCATGACCCCCGGGATCGGGTCCACCTGGATGTTGGGGGGCATATCGGCGGGGGGCATATCGGCGGGGGCGGGCATGGTGGTGGCGGGGGGCACATCGGCGGGGCCGCCCATCATGGGGGTGGGTTCCATTACGGGTTGAGGCTGCGGCTCCATCATCATCTGCGCGCCAGCCACGCCGCGCGGCGCCACCGACCCGTCGCCGTTGGAGGGGGGCGACGAGACGGTGGGGGGCAGAGGGAGGCCCGGCCCGTCGATGGCAATGCCGGTGCCGTTGGTGCTCACAACGGTTCCGTTCGAGCTGACGACTGTACCGTTGGCGAAGTAGGTGTTGCCGTCCGAGTCCACGGCCACGGGGCTCGTCAAGGGGTCAAAGATGACGGTGCCGTTGGCGGCGACGGTGGTGCCGTTGGGGTAGTAGATGGTTCCGTCGTACCCCACGCTTATCCCCTCGCTGATCAGCGCGCGCTGCGCCGGCGAGTACGCGTTGAGCAGCGCGGCGGACTCGCTCTTATTGTAGTTGATCCACAGCCCCTGCCCGTTCACCGTCGTCAGGTTGCCCGCTTCCGCCGTGAACTGCGCCGCGATGGCCGCTGCGTTCAGCGCCGCCGTCGCCACGTGGTATGCGAGCAGCTCCGACAGAGCCTTCAGCGCCTCGGGCCGCTCTTTCGTCAGCGCCGCCAGCGACGCTGGCGTCCCGTCGCCGGAAAACACGGCGCTCAATGCGGCGAGAAGCGGGTCGAAAGTCAACGGGTTCATATTTGGCATGGACATGTTTATATTGGGAAATGTCCAGTTGAAGTCGGGCATGGTCACATTGATGCCGGGCATGGTCATGTTGGGCATGGTCATGTTGGGCATGGTCATGTTGAGATCGGGCATGGGAATGGTCATGTTATCCACAGGTATTGTCGAATTCAATCCGTCTGACCTGCCTGGAATCCCGGGAATCGCCACGTCGGGAACGCCGGGCAGCGGCAAGTCAACTTGCGGAAGGCTGGGAATCATCGCCGCGCTCGCCCCGCCGCTAGCGCCTCCCGCAGCGGGGGCAACACCGGGCGCTGGGGTTGGCTGTGCGATGCCACCGGGATTGGCGGCGTCCGAACCGCCCGCGCCGCCCGAGCTGTTCCCCGGACTGCCCGGGCTTCCGGGGGTCTCGCCGCCGACGGCGGCGCCGGGGAAGGGAATGTAGGCGCTGAGATAAGGCAGGGCGAGGGCGTGGAATGCGGCGCGCCACGCGGCGTCGGTGGGCGCGAAGAGAGTGAGCGGCGCGAGCGAGGGCAGCTTGGCGAGCAGCCCGGTGGCGTTGAGGACGAGCAGCGACACGTTGAACGACTGCGACGGCGACTCCGCGCTCGCCAGTGTCGCCGCTATCGACGTCGCGGCGGGACCCTGCGGCGCGCCGCGCACGGCGCACGGCGCGGAGAGCGCGATGGAAATGACGAGGCACAGTAGCGCTGCGCGTGGTACATTCTTGGTTGCCTGAAGCATTCTGGTAGAGCGAGGGAGTAGCATCTTGGGCGAGCGAAGGGCAAGCAGTGGATGGAAGGAACTTGGCAGTCAATGCGAAGTTGCACGTTGCTTGCCACACTTTTCGGCTGCTTTGAAGAGTGCCGCACCAAGCTCTGATCAGAGGCACGAGTACACGCTAGTGTGCTTGCGGTGTGGTTTGACTGAACGACCGCTGGGTTTTGTAGGCATGGGACTGAGCGGGCAAGGATGATGCTGTGGGGGAATGCGGGGGGGGCACGAAAAACCGCTGATCCAGTCGCACTTGTCACGGTCCATGGACGAAAGAGATTCTTTGGCGGAGCATCGCGCGGTTCGCCCGCACCGCCAGTGCGCCACACCACCACAGGCCGTACGGAGAGGCGGAAGGATACACCGCGGCAGGAGAGAGGGGCCGTGCGGGAAAAGGTCGAGCGAGAAGGCGCGAAGAAGTTGCTCGTCTACCAAGCCTAAGGCTACTTAGCAATCCGTGCTTCGATATGGCACTACCGTGTTTGTGCTTTAAGTAACTATGTAGGAACTAATATTCTCCTTGTCTCACATTTGACTTCACCACGTACAACACTATGTAGTATTCGCTCATGGTAGGCCCCTTGGCTCATGTTAAAAATATTGGAGTTGATTATATCGAGGAAAAACCGCAGCGGAAGACCTTGGCGAATTAAGTCTTAGCGAAATAAGCGAAGAAGTCATTGGTTTAATATTGAATGATATTGGCTAATAGAAGCAAGGATGATATGCGAGAGCGATTGTCGGAAAGTAGTTTGTGGGACTAGGAAACGGAATACAAAGAAAGTAGATTGCCACGTGGCATGCTGGAAATTCTGGAAAATTGAAATGATAATATTAGGATGGGGTTGGGAGCACTATTTATGATGATTAGCCTTTGAACAGTAAAGTACCTCGTAACACTACCCCCCTCCCAAGGAGGCGACGTTTGTCGAAATATATTGTCATGTTTTATAACTGCTTGTAGTTGTAGTTAGTGTAGTTATTTAAACTATTGTTGGTGGTGCACCTTATTTGGTTTCTATGCTATATGTACCCTTGAACCTATAGTGAAACTATCTCTTTTCTCCAATTGCTCTCTCAACTCACTCGACACCTCGCCTAGGGTAAAACCTACTTGACACCTTAGTACGGGCCTAGGCTACTAAGCCTAGGCCCTTCCTTTCAACTTAGCTTATATTCTCGACAACGTTCGCGGCGCCTACAGACTGAAGTGTGAAGAATGAGGAATAAATGAACTAGCAAGCAGGTGGGTACAAGTAGGAAAACCTAGAAGTGTTGTACCCTATATTGTCTACCCCACTACAGCCTACACAGACTATAGCATATAAGTTTGATACACCCCCATAGGCAAAGTGGGGGAGAACAAGAAGTCACAAGACCAGTGAAGCAAAGCAAGCTCAGGGTGGATCACAACGACTCCACACAGTCCGAGCACAAGTGCAAGGCCACAAGGCAAGTTCACATGCAGGATCATATATAAAGGCAAACAAGCAAGTGCAGGTATAGTAAGATCACAGTACAAATAAGGTCAAGAAGTGAGCAAGTGAGGCCAAGTAGGCACAAGACCTAGCATCATACAGCAGCGCTGATTATCACAAGGCGGATGTGCCTTGGTAAAGATATCAGCAGTGTTGGCCTCAGAGGCCACATAAGCAAGGCGAAGCTGACCACGCTGCTGCAGCTCACGAGCAATGAAGTACCGAAGAGCAATGTGCTTCTTTCTGTGCTCCAGTCTGTGCTTCCAACACAAGGCCAGCATGGCCTTGTTGTCTACATACAGAACTGGAGGAGAACGAGGCACCTCTCCTAGGTCAGTCAGCAGGTAGGTGAGCCAGCGTAACTCCTGACCAGCCATCCCCCCCGCGTAGATCTCGGCCTCACAGCTGGAGCCGAGAACAGAAGACGAGCGGGTAGACCGCCACGAAACAGAGCCGGAGCCAACGCTGAAGGTGTAACCCTGTCACGACCGCTGCGTAGCCTGGTCGTCAGCCCAAGAAGCGTCTCCGTGACCTGTGAGGACCACTCGACGTCGCCCTCCAAGCACGAGCCCCATGCCCGACGTACTGCACAAGTAGCGCAACACCCTCTTCGCTGCAGCCATGTGCTGTGGTCGGTGTCTCCCAGGAGCAACATAGCATGCCAAGATGCTAAGAGGGTATGCAAGGTCAGGTCGTGTGCAGGTCATCAGGTACATGAGGCAGCCAACAAGCTCTGGGTACGGGCCACTCAGCTCTACGCACTCTTCCGAAGGCAGAGCTGAGAGCGAGTGGTGAGTAGGCAGAGGAGTGGCCTGAGGCGAGGAGTACGAGAAGTCGAAGCGCTGAAGGACCTGCTGCACCATGTGTGACTAAGTTAGGGTAATGGTGCGCTGTGCTTTGTCCTGGGTGATCTGCAAGCCAAGGTAGCTGCGCAGTTCACCCAGGTCTGTGCACGTGTGTCTCTTCCGCAGCTCGGACTTCACGTGGGCGAATCCAGTAGTGTTAGCCGTGGAAAAGACCAAGTCGTTGACGTACACGAGGATGTAGAACGGCGGCAAAGAGGTGTCGGTGCGCAGAAACAACGTCGGGTCGGCAGTAGAAGGAGCAAACCCAAGAGCCAGGAGTGTAGTCCTCAGTGTGTCGTGCCACTCACGGGGCGCCTGGTGGAGACCGTAGACTGGCCGCCGAAGGCTCTACTGGGTACCACGAGGAAACGACCCAGTGAAGCCAGGTGGGCGGCGCAGCCAGATCTCCTCGTGCAGGTTGCCCTACAAGAAAGCAGTGCTGAAGTCAAGAGAGTGAAGCTCGTAGTCGCCCTGAGCGGCTATGTGCAGCAGTACCCAAAGAGTGGTCATCTTCGGGGTGGGAGACAAGGTCTGAAAGTAGTCAACTCCCTCCCGCTGAATGAAGCCTCTAGCCACGTAACGCGCCTTGAAGACAGGCGAAGAACCCGGCGGCCGCTTCACCTTGAAAATCCACATGCCACTGACGATGTTCGCCCCAGGTGGGGGAACCTCGTCGACGTAGGTGCCTGTTGACTTCCAGGAAGGCATCTTTGCTTCCATGGCTGACTACCACTGTGAGGAGTAGGGACCCTCGATCGCCTCAGCGTACGATCGAGGAGTCGGGATTTCTGGTGCATCCGGGTCTCCCTCAGGGGCAATCAGCATGGACACGAGATGAGGCAAAGTAGCACCAAAACACTGGAACTCCTCCTGCCTACCCTCAAGGACGTCCGTGCTAAGAGCACACTCACCCCCGACAGACGGAGGACAGACAGACTCAGACTCAGCAACGAGACTAGCAGTTTAGTCTAGACAACAGCGAGCAGCAAAGTCGACAAGTTCAGCAACTAAGGTAGACGCAGCAGTGGACTCAAAGGAAGGGTTAGTGACCAAGGTAGCCAGGAGACGCGTGATAGTAGGACTGGCAGCACGAAGAGAGTCAGACTCAGGATCAGCAAGAACAGGAAGAGAGGACTCTGGAGGAGACGGCAACGGGACACGCAGAGGAGCAGTGGAAGGACGCAGTGCCATTTGGTGTGTGCTTGGGACCGCAAGAGTACACGGACGCGGAGCCCGACGACTAGTGCGAGCAGCACGAACATGCAACGCATGACGAGTTGAGGCTCACGACGCTCAGCAAGACCTCCAGTAGGACCAGTGTAGGGAGAAGGAGCAGGTAGGGGGAAGGCGGGTTGTAACTGTGACTGCGACTAGACAAGCTGTGGACACTCTAAGGGAGGAGAAGGACCAGTAGAAAGCGGGAGACCAAGAACCTCCTCAAGGAGCGGAACGAAGTACGGCCTTGGCTGCGCAGCGACTCCAGAACCTGCAGGGACAGCACCAATACCCCCAGCGGTAGCACAAGTGTCAGCAGTACCTCCAGCTCCAACAGCGCCAACTCCAGCACCCTCAGAAGCACAAGCGCCAGCAGCACCACTAGCGCCAACACACGCAGCAACTCCAACTCTAGCAGCTCCAGCTCTCGCAGGTCCGTCAGCTCCAGTACCGCTAGTAGCGCCAGCAGTACCTCCAGTAGCACCAGCTCCAGCAGCCCCAGTAGCACCCCTAGTCTCAGCAGCTCCAAGACCGCCAGTACGAGCACCTCTAGGACCAGGAGCAATAGTAGTACCTCCAGCTCCACCAGCACTGCTCCAGCGCCGGGCAAACCACTCGCGCAGCAACTGCGGAGAAAGTAGCACCCGCCTCAGTGAAGCACCGCCACAGGAAACACGAGCCGACCCAGCACCCCCAGGCTCCGCACCCCCAGGCTAGGCACCCCCAGGCTTCGCACCCCCAGGCTAAGCACCCCCAGACTCAGCACCCCCAGGCTCAGCACCCCTAGACTTAGCACCCCTAGGCTCAGCACCCATAGACCCGGCACTCGTAGGCTCAGCACCCCTAGCAGTACCAGAGTTAACCGCTACCTCAATAGGCTCGACTGCGTCTACCTGGGACACACCTGACGGAGAAGGACCCTGAAGGGGAAGGGGGTCTACCGGGGGAGGACCTGGCGCAAGGAAGTTCGGCGGCAGGGGGAGGGGCGCAATGCGGTAGGGGAAGAGACGGTAGTAGGGAACCAAGTTTTCAAAGGTGATGTCCTGGGAGGACAGAACAAGGCGCGAGGTGGGGTGGTAAAACTGCCAACCAGGCGCGTCAGGGGGGAAGCCAAGGAAGACGCAGGGAACAGCACGGGAGGACAGCTTTTCCGCAGACAAGTCGCGGACAAATTCCCGAGATCCCAAGACCCGAAACGCAGATGCATCGCGAACCTTCCCCATCCACCGCAAGGTGGGAGAGGTCTTTGGCAAGGAGACCTGGGGCTGAAGGTTGAGCTGATGCGCTGCGTACTGAATCGCAAACGGCCACATAAAATGGGGAGCAGCCGCATGCATCATGGACGTACGAGAGACGTCCATGACCATGCCAATGCGGCGCTCAGCAATCCCATTTTGCTGTGGAGGTCTGACGGATGCCCTGTGCACGATAG